GGGGCTGCACACTGGTGTTGGTGAAGGGGATCCCCATTACCTGTAAAGCGCTTTGAGTGGAGTGTCCAGAGTATAAGTATATAACAGCTGATACACAGATGCATTAATCCAGGGGATCTAACTGCATTATAATGTTAGCCTGTTTGATTATGAGACAATAGCTAATACAACCTATCACTGCGACCTGACACAAGGGGATGCATTTCAGTCTTATCTAAACTTCACACTGTTCTCATTATCTCTATCCTCCAGCCAATGGATCATGTGCACCCGTTCTATGCAAAGTCTCAGCCAAGAGTAACCGTGATAAGAAATGGTCTTATCTCGGGCTTCTCCTTCTCACTGGTTAAAAATGGAAGGTGTAAAGTTCAGCACCACCCACCTCCAACAGAGCACCAGTCTGAAAGAATTTCAGAGGCTTTTCTATGGAGTAGTACAGGCCGTGGTGACTGCCCTTCGCGAGATACGCCCGCACCAAACCAACAGCTATGACCAGCCACCTGAAAGAGAAAAAAAACAGCCGTCAGCACGCGTTTCGCAAAGCAGATCCTGGACACACAGCTCCGGGGAGGGAAATATTCGCACCCCCTCCGTCCGCCGCTCGACCTGCGGTTCAGACAGACGAGCCTTAACGTGCTCTCCCACGGGAAAGTGAAACGTCACGTAGTGGCAGAAAACGCGCCAGACTAAAATCGACTGTAACGTTAAGGCAACACGACATTCCAGAGAAATTTGAAATGAAGGAATTAAATTCCACAGGAATGACTTAACGGGGGCAATAAATTGTAACCTACTGGATGTAAGAAATAAAATGAGTTGCAAGCAGACTAACATTTCTGCTGAAAACACCCTATGAGGGATTTAAGAAGAGGAAAAACAGCTGTTCAGATAACGAAAACCATATGGCTGCAGATGAAAGGCTAAACCCATCCTGCTCTATTCCAGCCATTGGCATTATTTTAGAGCTCTTATGGAAGAAAGATTTTAAAATTGAAAGAATCATTTTGGCAGCAAATGCCATCCCGTAACATCTGGAATGTTTCACACCTGGTGACACTTTGCATGAAAGACCAGGACAAAACACAACAAACAGCACTATATTTTTCTGGCCTTCTGATAAAACTCAATAACAATAGCAAAATGATGCATTGTTTATACATGGACATTTGTCTAATCTGTGAATCTGAGTGAAATAGTCGTTTAACCACAGAAACTGCCCCTTCAGGATCTACAGCATACCAATGCAACATATGAGTACTGTAATTGGGGAAAAGAGGAGGCAGCCTGTGAAGGGCGAGGCTGAAAACATGCATTTTCTTGTTTTAAAGACAGATCTATCAAGAGAGGACGGTATTGCCAAACAGGGGGAAAAAAACAATTCCCTCCCTTAAAAAAGAGGATGCTTTCAAAACCTTAAAACTAGGCAGTTTTGCAAATCAAATTCAGTCAAGACCCACAAAATGGTTACTTACCACTTGTAAACCTCAATGACCCAGGTAATCAAGAAGGGCCTGAGCAGACTGCTTCATTAAATGAACAAGAAACTGCATCCTGTTTAAAGTCAGCAGTTGTTTAGTCACTTTTGGAACCCGTAATAGAGAATGTAATTTCTGTTCAAGCCCGATGTAACGAGGGAACTGCACCAGCAGCTTCACAGAGGTGAAGCGATCTCTGACACTCATCACCTAGCCTTTACACTCTTAACACCAGAATGCACAATGCAAGATTTGAAGACGGCAATAACACCGAGTCCAGCAGGCAACCTGTAGCAGAGGGTCACAAGGTGCCTAGCCCATTGTGGCCCCCTGGGTAAGACTTGGCTGCCTCCTAGAATTACTCATTATTACGTTCTATGGCTGAGCAGTTTATATCTACACCCATTTATATGGCTGGGTACTTTACTGAAGCAATTCAAGTGAGGCGCCTTGCTCAAAAGTACAACAGCACAACCTCACCTGCGGTTTGAACCTACAATAGGATGAAATCATCCCGATCTGACATGAATCGCTTGCTTCAGTAGCTGGGAATACACTGTACTCACTCAGAAAGGGGAATGTAATATGAGAATTGATTGTTACACAGATCTCATCGTTAACAGAGATGAAAAAAACAGATAAATGAAATCCGTTTTAATCATTTTTCACATCTCCTCCAACTCAGGATATAAAGTCAAACTCTGAATCTGCTCTTGAAAACACATCCAGATGTTCCAGGGAACTAGCATCCTAGATTTACAGCTCTGAATGAGGTTATTTTTAAAGAGAGATCGCTTATCTATTGGGGTTGCAAGGCACAATTCTCTGCAGCTTTTTTACATCTGATAACCAAGCATCATTACTCAGCTATCATTAGACACTGACTTCTTCCACATGAGTGTCTCAGCAATTTAGAACCTGGAATCATGGGCGCAAGGCAGGAAAACACACTGGATGAGACAGCACTCCATCTCAGGAGCGCACTTAGGAGAGGACACAGACACAGGGCAACCAGCACGTCTTTTATGGGGAATTCCCTGGGGAAAACTCATGCAGACTCTGCGCAGACGGTATCCCAGTCTGCAAACCGAACCCACGATGCCACTGTGCCACCAGACAATAATGTGCAAGAAGCACAAACGCATTTCCAAATTTCCTACACGAACAAACAAAAATCATTGCATTTCATAGGCTTTGAGACTCACGGGAATGTCTTTCAAAGACTGCCCAGTGCTTTCGAAACTTTGCCCCTTTGTACCAGAGCAGAGTGACCTGAGCAGCGGCCCAGTAATTCAGTTGTATCTGTATTCATACACCTGTCTGCAGTTGAAAAAGATCAGCGGTTTTGCTCAAATATTAACTGTTATTAACATGAACAGTTTTGCAACTTCTTTTGCAGGAAGAATGGTTTCATTGCTGTCGTTTTCTCTACTTATTCGCGATGTTTCTTGATATTTTTATAATAGGATCGTTAGGCATCCTATTATAATAGGATTTTATAATAGGATGCTGGGCATGAACAAACGTTTCTAAAATTCAATGCATCATGTTTTCATTTCCACGGTTATTAATCAACTTGCGCGTTGCAGAAACTTCCAGTTAAGGACTTCTGCCTTGCTCCGGCAGAGTCCGATACCCTGAGAAATTAAACGACATTAAACCGTAGAACCGTCCATTAGTTAATTAAATACGCGAACCCTTTCATACTGTAAATGCCGAATAAAACGTAGGACTATCGGAAATGAAAAGTGAAGTGTATTTCTAGACCTTTGCGAATTTATCATCTTCTCTTTACAATGTAAGGCAAGCACTCAGAAATAAAAAAAGCGCTGCCTAATACATAGTTCCCTGGTAGAGCTGCAACGATGAAGAGCTGCCCACAAAATGCAGGGACGCGTTTATCCCTTTCCCGAGCGGCTAATCCACACAGAAAGCCAGGGGTGTCGCAAGCACGGCAGAGAAGCGCCCTACACGAGTGACAGGATTTAACGGCGTCAAGTGCATGCAATAACTCTACAGGTCAAACAGGCACCGGGGAGAAAAAAAAAAACCCACGCAAATCACCGGTGCGTTGAGTGTATATATGCATTAAGAGTCGCCTCTGCATACTCCTGCGCTACAAAATTGCTCTGTGGAGCTGGCGCCCGTCACCACAGAGACACGGCGTCTTTCATTCATTCGGAGGCGGACACCTGACACATTTCGGTGACAGAAAAAACAACAACAACAACAACAACCCCCACGAAGTTTAGCCGTCGGATTGATTTACCCGGCCGTCATGACCACGTTATAGATGACCAGGTAGGCAGTGGCCAGTGCCCCCGGTCCCTTTTTCCGCCTGGGAGGCGCCTCGACGGGAGCGGCTTTCGCGGCCGCGGCGGTGTGTCTCGCCATGGCTGAGCTGGTCGGTGCGGCGGGTGACTGCGGCGCTGCTCCGCCCGCTCACCCCTGCAGGAAAGGCAGGCTGCGGGCCTCCGACAGCCGCTTGCAGGGGCCGCTTTCCAAACAGCGACATCTGGGGGGAATGCGCGGTTTTCAAAAGGGCTCTTATAGCTGTGTGCGTGTGGGTCCCCCCCCTCCAGTCATTTTCCCTGAAGGCAGACGCTCAGCACATTGTAAACGGGGGTAGGTGGATACAGCGCGCCTTGAACGCTCTGCGTCGTCTTCAGGTTATTTGAAAGGAGTGAGGCTGTCGGTTCGAAGGAGCGAATCAACACACGGTTTTGTCGTGTGATTCCGAAAATTAAAACCGAGGTGCCTTTAACATTGCTTGGTTTCAGTTAACCCAGCTACAGGCTGCGCAATTTTTGGAAACATGCAATATCACTGGAATAAAGGATAGTTTTTGTTTACCCCTTTTAAGATTATGAACTCTTACACCGTGAAATACATCCCACAAACGAGACGACCCCCCTGCCAGTCTAACTTTATTCTCCACTGTTTTTTATGCCACTACCTGCCGCGTGGGGGCAGCACCGCCGCCGCTACGCGGCCATCAGAGGGGTGCCCACAGAGATGCCTGAAGAAGGTCGCCTTTAAATACGTTATCAAAATAACTTTTTCAACAACCGTCCCGAAGAATGACCAGAACAAAATTGAACCCGGTGACGTAGATAAAAATCTGTAGAAGCGCAAAGGCCTTTCACTTGGCACTGATTTTTTTCAGGCGCATCTGTGGCCCGGCCCGGGTTTACGGAAGAGCAACTAGTGGAAGTTGGAGAGTTGGATGGATGAGGAAGGGATAGTCGCGAATTCCTACTATTTACACCGCAGACATTAAAAAACAAGGAACGCCGTGCTGTGCTTCAGAGGGATCAAGATGCCCTTATTCTCACAAAATCCTTTCGACCAGGATGTGGGTGAGTTCGGTGAATAAGCCGTCATCATCTCTAGCTTTCCTCTTTATTCTTGTTTTGATAGGAAGTGTGGGTTAAACACCCAATGTTTTTCTTGGCCTGTAGAATTACAGCGAGATCATCACTGAATCGATTCTTTCCCGCAGGTTCGCAGTTTGATAGTTCACTTCTGTAGCCGAAGAAAGAAATTTGCCGACCAAATCGTCCAGTGAACATTTTTTTTTTTGCAAATGTCGAGAATCTTTGTAAAGTAGATGGCGAGCGAGCTGGTTCTATTGACATTACAAAACACACTAAAGCAGTCTCTCGTAGGTAAGAAATGAGTTTCCCAAAACAGCTTGGATTTGCAGTCGGCGTTTAATGACTTGTAACTGAAATGGTGTCGTTGAATTAGTTGGTTTAGCTAATGAAGACACGACAGCGTAACTCGTGACTTTCATACGGTACCTAAACCGGTGTCAGAGTTAAAAAAGATGATGTAATGTGTCAGGTGATTTGCTTAAATAAGTAGAGTTATCTTTTAGCGTTAATACAACTGAAACATAAACGTAGCATTACCGAGTTGCTCAGAAAAAGATCGTGTGCTCTGTTTTACATGGGCTTGTCTGAGGTTTGAGCAGGTGGTGACGTTTAAAAACCCCAGTATATTTTTGGATGTGAGAAACCGTTAGGTTGAGGATTATCGGAAAAACTAGGCGGCCATCGGTCCGTCTCTCATATGTTGTGTCCTGACTTTGAAATGTTGTTTATCTACGTTAGAGTGCATTATTAATTGTAGCAGCCAAAAGTAGTGAAAAAACTTTCCGGTACATTTCAGAACACAAAGCAATACAAAAATCCGTATAGGTTTGTAAAACTATGAATGTCTCTCTAATTCGTGACTCATTTGCCTGGACCCCAAATGACACGTTTTAATATGACTGGGTCCGAAGTTGGAAGGGATGGATCATCTGAACGTTATTAACTCCTGATCCTCTTAGGGAGCTGCAGTTTCACCTCGTCTCCATCCCTCCCTGCACTCTGAGAGACTGTATCTGAACCAAATTCAGTTAATTGAATTGGTCTGTGTTTCCAGGCCTGGGCTCGATGAGGAATATGACTGACCTGGTGACCTTTTTTTCAGTGATGTCCCTCCAGGACCAGGAGTGAACTTCACTGAAAGAAAAACCACATCACTAGCACTAAGAGTCTAGTGCAAGTTAATGCAGCAAATATGTATATCACTGTTGCTTGTAGTCAGTCAAAATAAATAAGTTTTAACGTGCATGTTTATTGTTATATAATACTACAAACTATCTTTCAAATAATAAAGATCAAATTAAGAATACATTAAGAATTTTACTGTGTGGAAATCTGTACTATGAGTGTAATGTGGTATAAATAAGAAAGGTAAAGTCCACAGCAGCTTCAGGACAGAGCCCAGCCTGGTCACTGTAGTGTTAAGTGGAAGAGAGAGCTTGTGACTCCCCCTCTGCAGGGCACTAGGCCATCACAGGCGTGACCCCCCCCAGCAAGACTGATCCCCACTCAGAGAGCTGGGAGGACTGGAGCCACTGGGGTAAAACACCTCACTCCAGGTACCACAGCAGTGTCTGCAGCTGGGCCTCGAACCCACAACCTGATAATTGAGTCCAAAAGCTTAGTGACCAAGCTATGTTGCCCCCTCTAGTTTGGTGTAATAACACAGAATTAGTCAAATATTTACATGTACTTGCACAGTTGTCTTTCACTGCTCCAGAGGGTCTGGCTACATTTGTAGTGCCAAAAACTACCATTTTAATTCATCTGAAGAGGAAATCTACAGTCAAGAATGTTTGTGATTCATAAGAAATGCATGTTGTATATAGCTGAATAAACAGGTTGCATTGATTTTTTTTTTCACATACTGTAAACATCAACAGAATAAATATAGACTGCTTCAGAGTATGTCAACTCAGAATACTTTTTGGCAACTTTTATTTACTGGTAAACCTAAAGCTGTTTTTAAGCTAGGGATTGGTTCTTTATTTGAGTAGTTTTAAATTGCCCACCTTTAGTTGCTTGTCATCATAAAGGTGTGTGTTTAAAAAGGTGCAGCTCCTTTAGCGGAGAGATTTGGAGGCATCTATGTGTTGACAAACTCCTATGTGGTTTGTTCATTTATTTTTCTTGTACTTCCAGTTTGCTTCAGGGTGTTCATCACGTTATTTTGGAAATTGCACCTTGTACACTCGGTCTGTCCGTGGGATAACAACGGGCTGCAGAGAACTGTGAATGGATGTTCAGGGTCTGGGTTTGCAGTGGGCTATAAATATGAAAACTCTAATCTGTGGTAGGAAAGGACTGTGCTAAATGTAATCTGTTCCTTCAGATTACTTTCACGACTGCAATTCATCACATTGTTTAAAACAACAAGGGGCATTTGGTATTGCCTAGTTTTCAAGGTCTGAGATTCTGCCCTGTCCATGGAAGACCTCTTAACAACTTTGTCACTGGGGATGAGCTGTTTTCTTGGGCCTTCAATTTGTATTCATGGATAAAACCAGCTCCTGGTTTAAAAGTTTAAAATCTAACATTTAATTGCCATAAGTTTGTGGGACAAGGATGGGGGAAACATACTTTTCTATTCTTTTGTACCTTTTTTCCCAGAAAACAGTGTCAATAATAGTTGTATGAAGTATCCAGAAGGTTGCCATTTGAGTGAGTTGTTTTTTTTTAAATGCAAAGGGGTCTTTTTCTGTCACTGAAGTATAAAGCAGGCGAAATTGCTGAGGAGGTTTTTAAAGCAAGTGTTTGCAGAATAGATCACATGAACGCCTAAAAAAACAGTGGGGTAGTATGTCGGGTGGCGTGAGACTGTTTTATACTAGTATTTCAGTTTGTAGAATACAGGTACTGCCGCGAGTAAAATTACTGCAGTTACACAGCTGGAAGTGTGAAAAAGAACACTCCAAGGGATCATGATTCAAGTATTAAAAATCCCCAGAGACATTTACATATTCCACCCATCAGACAACTTCAGAATCAATAAGAGGACACAAATGGAAGCTTAAGGAAAATGTATTTTAAACTGACTTAAAGTTTAAACTTCTTTACACAAATGGTTGTGGCCCAAATTCCTCTCTTTTGCTAATTTTGTCCTCCTGAGTAAACAGTACGGTGTTTTATTTCAGCTGTTTTCTGTGAATGCAGCATTGATGAACACATTAGTCTCCATGTTTCAGTTGTTCTGAAAGATTTTTGTTTGCAAAATATTTTTGAATAATCAGTTAAAAACTGTGTTGACAATGTGATTAAATCTAAGCACGAAATTATCCAAGGTTTAAAAAATTAAGAAGCCTAATTTTACTGAATTTAGCTGTTAAGGTATTTGATTTTTTAATGCAAATCATGCATGCAAATCATTGCTTTGGAAAACTTTGTTACACTGTACTCTTGTGAAATTTCACTGATGTTCACATTTTATTATTCAAATCACACAGTAGCAGAAAAGGTAGCTGTAAAGACTGCATTTCAGGCAGTTTTCCAATGTCTAAATATCTGTTGAACTTTTAGGTGGGCTCACCTGAAAAGGAAGAGAACACACATTCAAAGCACTTGATTAAGTATTTTGAGAACATAATGATATGTTAATATCCTTGCCAATATTTTTTATCCTCTAGCCATAATTTAAAAAAAAAAAGTGGTTTGTGCTTTTACATGTCAGATAAATGTTTCCAAGTGTTAGGACAGGTGTTTGAATGGTTTAAAATAGTTACCCAATAGCACCGTTTCTGATATGTTGTATTTCAAAGATCTGCCATCCTCTGAATTTGTTTTTCTAAAGCAGATGTGGCATTAAATGAAAAATGTTCGTTGCAACCTAATTTCTAATATTAGAATATGCCATATAAAATATTATTTTCAGTCCATCATATTCATTTATGGTATTTGTTTGTGGGTTTTTTTTCCAGAGAAAGCTACAAATGAACACAACACAGCAGATGACTGGGGCCTTATCATGGACATCTGCGACCGTGTCGGGACCACACCGAACGGGTTCGTCAGTCACGCCTCTCGACAGCAGCCTGTTTGCTCTCCAGATTCCGCTAGAATGTCGGGCTTTTTCCTGGAAAACAGCGGCCGCTTCCTTATGCTCCAGAGGCCTCTTTCCCTCGCTTTCTTTTGGAAGCCAAAACTGGATGTAACATAAAACCAGTGATAGCTGGAGTTGCTTGCGTTTTACTAAATGCGTCAGACTCTGCTGAAAATTAATATTATGAAAGAGGAGAAGTAGGTCAAGCATAACTCTCTGTTTGTAGCTCGTTTTGCATTGAAGACTCTACTGGAGACAGGTGCCTTAGCACACCCTTTTTTAGCATCTATGTCATTGGGTTTGAGTAATTAGATTCACTCACCCTTAACTCCAAATGTCGTGTGGGTGTGGCAAAGCAAACAGCAGACAAGGAATACAGCTTTCACACACAACGGTCAAAAGACCTTGATCAGTCCTACAGCTCCCCTGCTGTGCGGGGGGGGGGGGGGGGGCGAGAGGGGGCGAGAACTGGTGAATATTCCCAGCATTTCGAACACAATATTTATACACCAGAAACTGTCCAAAATAGAATGTTACTGTTGCCATATTATGTTTTTGTTTGTTCCCAAAGCTCTGTATGTTTAACATCCTGTTGTCGTTTCTGCAGAGCTAAAGAATGTCTCAGATCCATCGTGAAGAGAATCAACCACAAAGTGCCTCATGTGGCCATGCAGGCGCTAACTGTAAGTGCATAACCAATCCCATTGATCTTCTTGTTGTCTTGCTTATGTTTTAGATTTAATAAGCAGATCTCTTTTGGAAGACATTTCAAGTGTGCCCCTGAAACCGACAGGTCTTGAGTAGATTAATGATGTTTAAAGGTTTGTAGCTCCTATTGGTTGTCGGAAGCAGTCATTTCCATACTTATGGTTAAGTTTGAGTAGCTATAAACTGCAGCCTGCATTTTTGACTACCCGGGCTTCTTACTTTTTACAGATATCCTGCCATACTCCAGCCAAATTGTATTGGATAATTTTGGTATGCTCAAATGGGAAGTTAATGGAATCTTTTGGACTGGATTGAAAATGGTTCAACTTTGTGAAAATATGTATATGGCCAGTATATACAGTACACCTTGAAATTAGTATAGAATGCAAATATAAAAAAACTGCGGCTGTAGAAAAACATTTTTGATACGTGTGTTGGTAATCTTTGAGGTGGCTCAGGAAGTGAAGGTGTAAGCTGAACTGTGTTACGAACCTACAGCATGACTTGCCAGAGAAAGCATGAAGGACTTGTAAGACCCAGGCAGTTAGAGATCAGAAACCGTCTGCTCTCCGAGAGCGTTAGGACATTGGCCAGAGAAGGTCAGGGGTCAGGACATGGAAGCTGCAACGGTGCCACATACCTTACGATGTAAATAGAGCATTAGCAGGAATTCAGGCAAACAAGAAATGTATATAAGCTGCAAAAAACTTGTATTCAGTCACTATTGTGCAGCAGTGGCTCAAATATATTGTGAAGTTGTTAGGTGTGTAGGCAGTTTGCTGATTAGTAATCTCTCCACATGATGCTTTGGGGGTAAAAAGGCATGTAAGCTGCCTCTACAATAGCTGTGGTGAATAAAATTGAATATTTAGCATATTTCTGTAACCCAAGAGATCTTCCCCAATGCGTTTGTGGCTCTATTCTGTTTTGGTTTATTTGTGCAGTTCTTGTTTTGATGTCTGGTTTCGCATTATTTGCGCAATTGTTTATTGCAGTTTTCTTTGTAAATGTATTGCACACCATGGGCTGCGTCTGTGTTTGTAGGCTTTACTATTTTCTACTGACATTGTCAAGTAAATTGCCAGTCAGCTTAATATCCACGCCTTAAAAAGAACAGACCTGCATATAATTTGGACCATACTGATTGATGCATGTTCTTGTTGCTTATTTCTCAGTTGCTGAGCGCTTGCGTCTCAAACAGTGGGAAAATCTTTCACCTAGAAATCTGTTCCCGGGATTTTGCTAATGATGTCAGAGGCATATTGAGCAAGGTACGGTATTTCTTTTCACAAAGTCTAGGGTTTTATAGTTCTCAGGGCAGTTATAAATATTATATTATGCTAAGACAGCTTGTTTAAGCTTTCTGTCAATTATCTTCTTTAAAAAGGTAAAAATGCAATTATAGGAGTTTTCTAATTAGTCTAATAATGTCAAATGCTTTTAGGTTTTCTTATTAAAAGAATGATTTAGTGACAGCTTTATTATTTCCTTTTAGTGCAAATGAGCCATGTTGTGTTTTTCAGAGGGAGAATAATTCATTTTAACTGAAATTGTATAGCAAAAACGTCTTTTCACAGTTTGCTAGTTTTTTAAAACATATGATGTTTTTAATACTAACTGCACAAACCCTGAGGTGTTGACAGTCGTATCTAGTTAAACTAAAATCTTTCACATTGAAAAACACGCTTTGATGTGTGTTGATGGAAACATCAGACATGAAAAGGTGTAAGCAGTCCCATTATTAAATGTTTGCCTATAATAAATTCTAAGCTTTATACCTGATTTCCTATAAAATTAAGAAAAATCACTGGCCATTGAAAAGCTTCTAGTAGTCCAAATTACTTTAAGTAAGTCTTCCATGTTAATCTGCAGATCTTTTGTATTATTTAGCATATCATTTGGCACTTTTATATTTTAAATTATGCACTTCTGTTCAGAATTCAGTTGTTTCCTACCTTAATGGTGTACCACAGTGGTGTCTGGATTAGCTTTAATGCTTCACAACAGCAGGGATTTAGGTTCAATTCTGTCCTCAGGCGTCTGTGTGCAGTTTTAGTCTTCCCTGGGTTCACATGAGTTTTCCTTCCACTTCCCAAAGACATGCTGCCTAGGTCTGATTGGGCATTAAATTGCCCCTTTCACTGTGGCTCTGCTCTGGCCTGGCCTGTCGTGCTACCTGTCCCGTCTCGCACCCTGTGTTTCCAGGTTAGGCTTGGACTTCTGTCAGCCCTCTCTGGGATAACTGCGCTCCCCATAAATTTAGGAAAAAAGCCTAAATTTCTTTCAGAGTGCTTATAAAACCTGTTTGTTTGTTTTTTTGGTCTTTTCGAAAATTGTCCATCTTGATACCTCATGTCATTCGCAGGCCCATCCAAAAGTTTGTGAAAAGTTCAAGGCATTACTGGTGGAGTGGGCCGATGAGTTTCAGAAGGACCCCCAGCTCAGCCTCCTTGGGGCCACAATCAAATCTCTGAAGGAGGAGGGGGTGACATTTACTTCCTCGGGCTCCCAGGTACTTGCTTTCGCCTTCCCAGCATGCAGCTGGCCTCTGAGAACAAGGCTGTCGTTTATGTTTCTGTTGTCACTTTTAAATTCCTAGTCATCTTGTTCGTTATTATTTCAGTGCATCTAGAATGGTGTCAATGCTTGTGCTGGAGTTTGTAATTGGTGGAAAGCAAAGCCGGTTTTGAATCCCAGAAGTCAGAACAAGCAGCTTGTTTCTAGTTTAGTGCCTCATATACTGTATAACAGAGCCCTGTGATTGTTTTAGGAATCAAGGACATTTATTAACGTTTATAAGTTTATAAGCTTTGTTTTTAGCAGTCACATAAAAAATGTGCCAGGAAGCCTTTTTTTTTCCTCAGTAAACCTCTGGCAGGGGCTAAGTATGATACTGGCTTGATGTAATTTATCACGTGTGACAGTGAAAAGCAAACTACAGGTTTATATTTTGTTTAGAATAATTTTTGCCCTTGAAAAATATATTTATCGATTTATCTTTATATAAAATTCAAAGAGTAGAAGGCGAGTATTAGGACAAGTGGGCAGAGTCCTCCAACACGCCCATGGTGGGTCAGAACCAGTGGGAGGGGAAACGTACCCCTCACCTGCGCCGTTTCCCTGCCGGACTGCCCCATTACTGCGGCAGTCCTGGACACAGTCAGCTGATGACATGACCCAGACTCGAGCCGCGCGTGAGCAGGGGCTTTTGACAGTGGAGTTACGGGGATTGTGGCTCTACTGATCCATTTTGAATTTGTTTTAATATTAAACTGCACGTAATATTAAAACTATTTACGAATGTTTTTTTTTTTTAAGGAAACTGATGTCGGAGTAGTAGTAATCTTTCAGTCGGCTCAGAGTAGTTCACGGCCGTAATACAGATACAGACCCTCTAGGTGGGGCTCCTGCACCAGAAACACTGCATGCGCTCTGCCTCAATGACTTGATTGCCAAAAATTGACACTGGGTTATTCTGCAAATGTAGCCTGTACATACAGTGCCTTGCGAAAGTATTCGGCCCCCTTGAACTTTTCAACCTTTTGCCACATTTCAGGCTTCAAACATAAAGATATAAATTTTTTATTTT